CGTGTTCCACTGTGTCCTCTATATCAACCAATGAGTAAAATGTAATTAGTATATTTATCAGTTTTTATCAGTATTAATGGACTATCTGCGGACGTCAGTAGGTGTCAGAGATCTAGTAAAGCATACTTCTCAAACGTTTGTGATTCCAGTTGGATCATTTGATGAAGAAAGGAGAGGGTCGGAAACTTGAAAGCACGCAGTTAGAATACATAAAGGTAAGAAAACTTCCCTGGCGATACGTAATTGGAACAAACTTAATGTTTTCATTTAAATCACTCTTTTGCCCACTACCCACAGTGAGTATTCTAAAGGCAAAAAAAAATAAATAAAATAAATAAATAAAAATAAATAAATAAATAAATAAACCCTTTGTCACCCTGAGTTTCAGCGAGTACTGAACACTCGTTCCCAATGCCATCATACCTCTGCCGTTGTCAGTAAAAGGCTGACTATTGGGGTGAGTTTGAAGTAATCTCTGGAACTTTGGACGACTTTAAAAGTTGACGGACGAAGAAGAGAGGGCGAAAACAACCCCTGGTCATGTGGGGTGCGGGAATGGGGTGGGGTGGGGTGTTGCCCCACGCCGTATGAGTCAACATAAGGAGAGATCTGATGTATCGCTTGTTGTCTTACAGGGCAAAATTGTTGAGCATTTGTCAAAAATTTATCAATGGAATCTTTTTTTAATGTAGGCTAAATCACTGGTAGAGGAAAGTCAGCTGGACTTGGAGGCCAAAACGGATGCTCTCAACATAAATAAGGTACGAGCACAGCTTCATATTGCTGTACAGAGATTAAAGGTACATTTATAATCAAGGAATGCACTTGCTTATATAACGTCATTACAATTTTATCTTCCAAACTCCTAATTTTTATGCTTATCAGTTACTTATTGTATTTGTGTTCAAAACTTAACCCTAACTAACTTTTTATTTTAAGAGCTAAATTCCCTATGTATATGTTCTAAACAAGCTTACTGATGTTTTATCACAGCACTGCAAGGCACGTGAGGCAGTCAGGGTGCTGGCCGAAGCTAACCGAGTCCTGCACGAGAATGGTTTGCACGTGGCTATGGCCCAGCAGCAGTTGGTAACCGTGCTGATGCCGAGAAGTACACCTACGCGTCAGACTAAAGAGGGCTCCTTTAAAAGTAACGTGTCTCAATATATATATATTTATGTCTACTTGATCTTGACCAACTTTTAAAAATAATATGGCATACCTATTAAAAAGAAGAGAACAATCTCAAGTATGATGTTCGAAATTTGGCCGGTGACAGCCGCACACTCGCATTTTCATTGGTGGATTCAGGACTTTGGGGCACGGAGGTGTGTGTGTGTGTGTGTGTGTGTGTGTGTGTGTGTGTGTGTTTAATGTAAAGATGAAGACCCTGATGACGATGCTCTGGACAGACATGTGGAAAAGTTACTGGTTCATTTTGAGAAGACGAGGGTAATTTAAATGTACCGTGTAGGCCACAGGATGGAAATTTGGATGTTTTTGTTTCCATTTCGTAGTTATACTATTTTTAATGGAAAATTATGGAACCTGACTAGCACCCTACGTAGTTGAATTAAATTATACACTATGTACAGTATGCGAGTCAACCAGTTATATTTAACATAAAATAATTCGTATTTAAATCTATTACTCTATTTTGTTTAGTTGACGACGCATTCGGTATACATGTTTAATCTGTGTATCATAACAGTTTGACACAGAGTACGAAACAGGGGTGAGAATAATTCATCTGTATTCTAAGGGGAACGGAACGGCTGAGGGGGACGCCATGTCATCAACTGGACAAATTGTAAGTCCAGTAATAGATTTGTTAGTCTATTTCATGTAAGTTATACACGTTTATCTGTCTAATTTAGCCCAGATGTGAACGCAGGCTTCTTTTTCACCAGGTAAAATGGACAGTGCGCGAGTGGTCGGAAATTTATCGGACAAGATCGAGTTACCCAGGCCAAGGAAATACAGCGAGATAGACGTCGGCTACACATTCAAGGTAGAGGACCATTCCCACAGATATTTGGATCGATCTATCTCCCTGGGGACTCTCACTATATTGCTATCAAACTAACTGGCTTAAATGTCTGTCACGCCTTGTAAAGCTGTTAGGGGGTAATTATCTTTACCCCTAGCTGATTCGGTAGGCGTGACAGACATTTAAGCCTCTTGAGCTAATAGCAATTTAGCGTGAACCCCCAGGGAGTTAGGTCGATCCAGATCCAAGTATGGGAACCCAGTCTTATTTAGCGTTATCTCATACTGCCACCCTGAGCAACAGTGATTATAAAGCGGTAATCTAACCTCCGCTTTCAGCATGTCTTTACACTTTACACTCAGGGTGGCTCATGTTGCTAGGTGCTTCAATATGAAAGTCACTGGGTTATATTTTACTATATCTAGGCTTGTATTAAGACGATTATTTTTTGTGTACTAGGTATTTTTATTATAGTTTGTAATGCACGTAATAATACTTGTATGTGCAGCATCAAATTATGAACACAGGCTATAGGAAGCAAATTCCAAGTGTGTTTGCGTGTGGGAGTGTCTGTGTATGTGCGAGTGCCTATATGTGTGTGCGTGGTATGCGTGTGTGTGTGTGTGTGTGTGTGTGTGCGCACGCGTGTGTGTAGGGGTGGAGTAAGGTTTAACCATTCAGTAAAAAATAGTTACCTTAAGTCTTGTCAACGTATCATCCCTTCCAGACCCATCAGTATATTCCGAGTAAAGAGCTGTTGATGCAGGAGTTTTCCAGACCGGTTCAGAGGAAACACCTCAGCGGACGACCACCTCAACCTCTCCCTGTTAAAGAAAGATCTAATACCACGTGGCAGACCGGTATGTGATATGTGGCTGATTCCTTCGACTCTTTAAAGCTACTCTTACAACCGGTCGTGCGTGCTTCTACGAGCGGTTTGCGTGCAAAAAATTGGCCAAGTAGTAAGATACACGCACGTGGAACGTACTTTTTTTGGTGGACGCAAACACGACGCAAAGCACGCAGCCCGAAAACTGGCCGGCCAGTTTTTCGCTACGACCTGTCTGCGACAATTAAAACGCCTGGAGCACGCTCGTAGCACGCAAGACAAAAGTACTGAGTAAGTGCGCTAGGCGTGCGTGTAACGCAGGAAAAGCATGCAGAAATTCCGGGGTATTTTACCACGAAGACGTACTTACCACGCAAGAGACTCGTACGTTCAACTTGCTTTCAATGTACGTTTTAACAAAAAGGGGGGTGAGTGCACTTCCTCCGTGCGTTTATCTTACTTCCAAAGTGCGTGGCGAGTACTACTACCATACTTGTGAAGTGCGTCACACTAAGACGACGCACGTGCCCAGCACGATAAAAGTGCAGGCGATCCCGAGCAACCACTGCAAGCATTGCGTCGTGATCTTCGGTCTCCTGTAGCATTAGTAGCTGTAGAAGTCGATGGCGCATCCTTCTTGGAAGTGCCATTTTGGAAGCCAAAACAGTGAATGATGAAGATACTCGGTGCTCCCTTTATATTATTTATTATATATTATTATTTATTATATTATCCGTGCGTTCCACTTCCGTGCTTATTACGTTTCTCTTACGTTTCTCTTACTTCGTAAGTACGATTTCTGAAAACGTACGCTTAACTTGCAATACACGTTTGATTATCTCACTCACTGTGTGCGACACAAGTACAGATCGTACGTGCTCCTTACTTCTTTCTACTTCCAAAAAAGGGCGTACAGACCACTTGCGGGCCCCACGTTTAGAGCACGACACACCTACTCCTAAAGTACTTATTACTTCGTCCGCTGCGATTTAATTTTCATCCTGCGACAACGCTACGTCTGACAAGAACTCCGAGGACGCACGATCTCTAAGCACGCACGACGGGTTGTAAGAGAGGCTTAAATAACGTCAGTGAAGCTCACGGTTTGTGTAATATTTATACAATTTTGACTTGTCCCATGATTGATGCTATTTCATACAGTAGCATCCTCCAATGTGGCAAGAAACCAACAGTAATATTTTTTTATAAAACAGTAATATTAGGCCTATATATTAAACAATATGTGTGCGTCGCTTACATGATAATCACCCACAAATACCGCCAGTCAGGTAAGTGTATAATATGCATTGGCTGTCAGACACCTAGCGACGAGTGGCGATCACCACGAAAATTAACACTCCTTTATTTACCAGAGATAGTCAACAAAAATTGGCAGTATATTAAAGACTGAATGTAAAATAATCAATACCACCAGCATTTGGTTTAGGGGGCACAAGTATGAAGCAATGGATAGCGTGCGAAGGCAACTTCACCGCGTAATATAGGGCTTAGGGATGAAAGAGGTTTTTAATGGTCTCTATAGATAGGATGATAAAATAAAAATATTATTATTATTATTGAAAATTGTGTATTTTTACAGCACCTTAATTATGTATTAATTAATTAGAGAGAAGGTACCTCTAAAGCCAAGGGCGCGGCACGTGCCCGCTGTCTTCTCCTATAATGGCTATTTGATATACATATTTTATTTGATTTGTTTAGAATCCTCAGGTTCAGGTGAATATGCCATACCAGGTGAACAAACGCCAGAGCCTCCCCCTAGACCCGATAAACTTACATTGAACCTGAAAATAAAACCTGGTAATGTTATCTCTCTCACATACACATGCACTCTCTCTCTCTCTCTGCCTCTGTCTCTCTCTCATTCTCTCTCTCTCACTCACTCTCGAAATCTTTGTGTTGTTTAAAAATGAAGATGAAGAATGTTTACGGTAATTGCTCTTGCAGAGAAAACTATCAATATGCGAAAGAAAGTGTTTTCAGATATTTTTGCTCCAATGCAGACAACATAAGAAGTATCTGGGAACAGTATCAATGTATTTTGGACGCTGCACGAAGGGGATTATAACTAACAAATTACACTTACATTTATACCTTTGGACTTTAATAAATTAAAAAGAATATCGATTTGTCCATTTTAGTCCAAGTGATCCAGAGAAGACGTTCGATTGCGGAGCCCCGCCCAGTTAGTCTGGAGATGCCATCACCGTCAGATTTTGAGAACAAGACGGGAACGGGTCAGAGTTCAGGATCAGGAGCAAGTTATCTCTCTATAAGTCAAAGTAAGTATTTCTAACAGTATATTTTTTGCGTTCGGAAAGGTTAAAGGCATGCAATGTGCGTTAGATATGTACGTATGAAGTTTCAGCATTTTTTCCTTAGCACCAAACTTAGTTTTATGCATTGTTTTTTCACAACAGTTTTGGAATGGATATACCCTATTTAAAGGTGAAAACAGTTTGAATTCCAAGGAAAATTTTCATTCATTTATTACTATGTCTAACTCGCACTGTATCCTTTTAAAGCTTTTTCTATGATAATATCTGTTAATTCCTGCGTCTCTTTCCCTTTATTGGAAGATTCTTAATTCAGAAGCATCATCCGTATTAATTTATTTCGGTCATAAAAAATTCATATTGACAGACACTTGCTTTCTATGTACTGGTATTTTTGAAACGTTCAAGAACCGTTTTTGGTACATTCATGAATTTTTTTCAGTAAATGGTCGCATATCTGTAAGCCCAGCTCACATTCCTTCGTCTAAATCTGAACATCCCTTGAGCCCAAAGGAGCATCCTCTCTATAGGTCGTGCAGTGATCCTAATATTCTGGACAGTATTGGTAAGTTCGGAGCACCTCGACTGATTCCGCCCTCCGTCTTGTGTGACGGAATCGCACGAAGTTTGCCGCTTCAACTGCTTTATCTTGGCTGGTATTGCTTTCACACTAAAAACATGATCGCTGATGGTTTGAGATGAATAGATTTCATTCAATTAAAATTAAACTAGATATTTCTGAAGGAGAAAATATAAATAATAACGAAATAAAGTAAGAAATATGGCTTCTTAAAAAAAATACAGGGAAACTCGAATCCAGTTGAAACGGTGGTCTCTTTTTCCTTCCCGAATAAATGACTATCCCAATAATTCAATCACAATTTGAGGACTTTTAAAAGATATCTAGTCTACAAACTACATGTAGCGATGATGAAAATATAGCTTGGTTCGTTGGCAGAAGTAATATGAAACGGAAAATTAATCCGTTGGTTCATTGACTAGGCTCTTCTGACGAGAAAAAAAAAAGGGGGGAGCAAATCTTTGAAAGTAGCAAGTAATATTGCACATATGGTTATTAATCATACTAATCAAATATTTACTTGCTGTTTTTGTCATAAATATTTGAAATAAGTAATTGAACAATAGGCAAAATAAGTGACTTTAAATATTTAATATACATAACCACTTCAACTATTATCAATTTATACACGGCAATTTTTTGTTTACCAGAACGA